GAAAGAACCAGATTTCCACAAGCCCTGATCAAGATTTTCAAAAGATATAAAATAACGAATAAGAACTTGCAAGTTCTTTCCTGCTCTGTTTTTTATCGTGTTTTCATTTGAAAGTTTATGCACTTGACTTTATACTTTGGACTTGATTAAGTTTTTGTACAAGAGAAAAGTTGATGATATGTGATATTTTAAGCTTCATCTGATTTGAGCACTAAATATTTGAAAATAATATAATATGGTTTGGTGTGGATCCAACCCCTCCCCCCCCTCCACAATGAGGATTTGGCCTCATTTTTCATGCGCGTAAGAAAAATGAAAACCAATTGATTTTTTCATGGCCTCGTTTTTTATGCGCATAAACCAAATGAGTTTTATTTCACTTCTGTATGGGTGTATAGATTTTTGATCAGATTTATTTTGTTACTAGTCACGGGAAGATCAAAGATCGACCCAAAGGTAACAATTTTTTCTTTGATTTTTCTTATTTTGTGGAAAAAATTTACATTATTGGTTTGTAGTTTTTGGATTTTTTTTTTATTTTCATGACTAATTTTTTATTTTGTTTATTGATGATGCTACCCGTCACAGGAAGTCGATCCTCATCCCCTAAAGGTAACAATTTTTTCTTACTTTTTGGAGGAAATTTACATTCTTGGTTTGTAGTTTTTGAGTTTTTTTTTTTAATTTCCATGACGAATTTTTCATTTGTATGTTCATCAAACCGAGTTGTGCTTCTCTGGAGGAAATTTACATCTTGGTTTGTAGTTTTTGATTTTTTTTTTAATTTCCATGACGAATTTTGCATTTGTTTGTTCATCAAACTGAGTTGTGCTTCTTTATATGTCTTTTTCATTTCTTTGCTTGGTTGAATTGAATAATAGATCTTCAGTGCTTTGGTACATATATGTTCAATGCTATTCGGAAGGAGATTGAGTGTTCTACCAGACACACCCTCGAATTGATTGATTGTTGTTCCATTGGTACCATTGAGGTTACCTACCTCTTTGCTCACGAGTTGTGCTTATTTAATTTGTTGTCTTATTGTCATTCCTTTGCCTTGGTTTGTGTGAAATTTATAATTTTGATACTTTAGTTTGTGTGAAATTTAGAATTTAGAACTTTTGTTAGTTGGTGTTGTCGTAGACCAAGAACGGGTTCCATGAAGCTACCTTGCTATTCAGGTTGTGCTTCTTTATTTTGTTGTGTTTGACTTTTTATATTGGTCATTTGATTTCATGCTTAAATGATGATCTGCAGGGTATTAATATACCTATTTGTTGTCTCTTCTCTGTACACTATAACATGTAAAGTCATGAGCTTTTATCCTGCATGTTTGAGCAAATAAATCAATTTTTGCCATTAAAAGCAAGTGAAAGCCTCTAAAAATACCGTGTTACACTTGGACTCAAAATTTTTTGCCAACTGAAATTCGTACTTCATGTATTACGTGCAAGTTTAGCTCAAGGGCTGTTTGATTAAAAAAATTCAATAGTTTTGAAACTACTCCTTATTCGATTGATGGAATCCTAACGGTGGTTCATCACTTAATGATGGAATATGTTTATCTTAGAATGCCATTGCCACGATAAAAAAAAACAGTGTACAATGTGTATGATCCTTTAATGTCTGTAGATGATCATTTTAAAGTCTTTTTGTGTTTCACTTCTTTGTTTTTTAGAAAAGAAAAAAACTATTAACAAGCATAGATGGACTCTACTTGCATTGTATTCTCTTGGACTAATTCATGTGTTAAAAAGGTTATATTATTAGATTGTTTGTGGTTTTCTTTGACTCAAAATTTTATCGTTTGATTAATAAAATTGATCGTTAATTATTTACCATTTAATTTCACAATCTTTGTAAATGGCTTATATGTTGAACAAATCTTATACTTTTCAGCTACTTTTGACTTGAACCATAAATTTCGTGCGATTTGGCACAAGCATAGGATAAAATTGAACAAATTATCTTTGATTTGTTTCAGTTTTGCTTAGATTTTGGACTTTTGTTGTAGAAATTTTTATTTGGGAACTGATATGAATGCCAATTATATGTGTGTTTGTAATTGTGGGTTGGATTTGATATATGCAGATTTATATGGATAAAGTTGAACTTTATTCTATTGTTGATTTGATTATGTTGTTGTGGCAATTGACAAATGATTTTGTTATGGTAGAATTGGGGTGTGATATTGAATTCGAAAAACGAATTAGGCCATGTTTTCTTTAAATTCACGTGTTTCTTAATAATAAGTAGATTTGTAATAATTATTAGTCATCCGTCAGTTCAGTGCTTGATTATTTTGCGTTCAAATTTAATATTCAATTTTTTTAGTTGCACCGTGCCTTCAGGCACGAGTTGTCCCTAGTAATTGATTAAATGAGAATCCAAAGGCATCTCAACTGATCGCCATTGTCTTCTTCTTCATTGGGTTTGACAACTTCCACCTTAGTTGGTGATTATATCACCTTCTGTTTAAATATGACAAAAAAGTGTACAAAACAATGGATGGTGATGTCATACTTCCATTTACTTTGTCTGCATACTTATGAACCATGTTCATACTTGTAGATGTAGACATACATGTCACCAAGCATAGATCTACGTACCCCCACCCTTTACACTACCAAGTACCAAGCACAGATCTGCTGATTTTAGTTTTTTTTTTTTTCAATATTTAGAGATGTCTGGCTTAACTTACGTGTTTCGATTAATTTCTTCCTGATCTGCTTAAAGACAGACCATCCATGTCAGGACTAGCGTATTCATAAAGGATAAATTTGTCATGACTTGACCTCAAAAGATTACCTAAATTCGAATTCAGAACGTCTGAATTTATAATTTGTCTCTGCCACCACTTGCACTATCTTTGAAATTTTAGTTTTGAATATAGTTCTTCTTTCACGATTTTTGTATTAAAAAAAGTAGTTTTAGGGAGTACGAGATAAGCCAAATATTAAAAGAGAAATTATAAAATCGGGTGATTCATCTACCCCAAAACCAATCACCCAAACCATAAACATTATTGACAAATCTAAGCATGATTATCTAAAAGAACATATTCAACCTCAATTTCATCCAATTATTGTTTCAAAATTGATATTTTGATAATTGATACCACCTATTTTTGTTATGATTGGAGCCATGAAAATGGGGCATAAGCCTAAGACTTGTTTTTAATTATATTTATATTTATATCTATATAAAACAATAATTGTTTTTAACTATTTTATCCTTATAAAAAATTTTAAATACCACCTTATCCTTTCATAATTAAATATCTAAATTACCATCATATTCTTATATGTTTAAATCTTCAAATTATCTTCAACACACCTTTTAATTCTCTATTCTCTATGTATAAATATTAATATATATAAAAAATTTTAATTGACTATGTTATTCTTAAAAAATAAGCATTGATTAGAATATGGACAATTGTTGTTATTTTATTCACTAAATTATAAGTTAAAACTTAATCAAATAAATTTTAAAATAAATTATTTTTATCTTTGTTTCTTATAGTTAGAACAACGAATCGTTGGGAGTATACAAATTTTTTCGAATTCAGGATAAACACATAATTTTTATAAATTTGATATGATATTTAATTTAGGTACGTATATACTTAAAGCTTTTTATTAATATTTTATGTAAGAAAATTATTCATGTTCAACTCACGTGATGCGTTGCCAGTATATTAAAAAAAAGGAACATTACCGATGAATTATATATTTTTATTGAATTTTTGTTTAGTTCACAGCAAGTGGAAAAATGATACACAACATCACCAAAATAGATTCATATTCAGAATTATTGACATAATAAATGAAAATTTATGAACCAAATTAAAATTGAATACAAAATTCAGGACCAACTATTATTTTTATCCATGTTAAAAATTATAATACCACCACTAATCCGAAAAAGGTACTTTGGTTTGAACAATCCCATATACACACGTGACTGATCTCACTGGCACCAGCTCAGATTTTCACTAGCTTATTAGATTTACTGGCACACGGACGGTAATGGATACCAAGCAACAATGCACTTCGAAGTGTTGTTGGCAATCCCACATCGGTAGCAAAGCAAAGTAGGGAAGCAAAGAAGCAGCTATAAAAACGACAAGGAAGCGCCATTTTCAATTACGCAGCTGCGCGGTGAGCACAAAGCGAACTATTCTTTCGCCTTTTACTAAAGAATACCGTGTGTTCGCCGCTACAAGCGGCATACGCCAATTTTTGGAGGGTTCCTTCTTTATGGAGTGAACACCTAACAGTTTTAGTTCAAAATTTTAGTTGCTGCTTGTTAAATTTGGGTTCTAGGCTTGCTGGTAGCCTACAACGTATATTGGGGACTTTAAAGAAGGATCTGATCCAGGAGTAAGGGGCTCTAATTTGTTGAGACAGTTCATGTACTCTGGACTTGGGTTTTACCGGAAGCTAGCTCATACCTTTTCCTTCAGAACATGGTTTTCACAAAAGAACAATGTTTGATACTTCGTATGTTTGAGATTAGTAGGGATGCCCAAAACATTAAGATCATAAAAAATCTTAATGCAAGAGAAGATTGCAAAAACTATTGAACCTATTAGATCCTTTACTTCAAAATAAGAAGGGTAAGAAGCAAAGTTACTCTCCCACATATTGGTGCAATGCGACTAGATGTGAGTAACTCATGAAGATTAAAAAATCAATTTAAGGTGGCATTGTCCACAAGAAACAATGCCTCAAAGCCAAGTCATTATGGTATCGATGCTGGCTAAGATTGTAATTATTGTAACTCACAAAAGCTCATTTGAACCCAATGTGGTTCATATAGTATAAAAACTGTCACAATTATTAATAGAAAGAGTACAACTCTCACAGATGTTATGTACAGTAACAGTAGTAACAAAAAGGTTTACCAACAGCATCTCAAATTAGACCTGTTCAAAAATCGTCTCTCCAATGTGAATTTCAATTCCAACTAGAGGTCATGGAGTAATCAAGAGACCATCAACCAATATGACCCTTCAACTGGTTTCGCCGCCACACAGCGGCAAAAGCCAGGGCCTGCTGAAAACTAATTTCAAGACAGCAAATACTAGGATCTGCAGTGGGTAGTCAGGTGCACAGGCACATCCAAGAACATTCACACTGATCTTTGACTTGGTGTTTTCTGATTATAACCTGACCAACGATACCAACACAGATTGTACCAAACCACCACAATTTACTAAGGGAATAACAGCTCATATAAAAGTTTTTTTGTTGGCAAGTACCTCACATAAAAATTATTCTTCAAATTTTATTACAAAAATTCTCAATCGATTGGAGACTTTTATTGTGGTACAATTTCAATGGTCCTTCAAGAACAGGATCCGCAGTTGAAAACAAAAATGATAGGAAGGAAAAACTAAAAGATCAGCCGATCCGACAATGTATCGGATTACAGAAGAGTCAAAGGTCATTGGAATGGCTTTAAAAATATTGAGTTTGAAAAAGACTGGAATCCATCTTAGGAAGACAGAACCTTCTGAACCTCATTTGTGACCTCTTTTGGAGGTTTCTCTGCATGAAGCTGTGCAACGACACCCTTCTTGGCATAATAATCTACGACCTGCATTTATAACATATAGAATGCTGGTTTAGAATCAAGAAAATAACTAAATGAACCACATTTGAAGAGCAATGGTAGATAAATACACAGAAGAGAGTATGGAAGACTGATCTTTATTTTAGATAGAAACACTTGGGTCTGCCACAATACAGATGTGCCTTTAAATTTTCAGGTATACTATCATCTCACGCAGCCATAAAATGTTTCTCGACTCTAAAGTCTCCTCAGAGATAGAGGAGGGTACATGTTGCATTTAACTAGAGTAATATTTACATGTCACAGAATTCATTATAAGATTAGCAATCTAAATGCCAAGTTATAAGTCTACAAATGCAAAAGCAAACACATACAAGACTTTTAAATTCAATAAGAACCATCTGCAATGCCTGGAATTTGCTAATGAGGCCTTATTTATGCCCCATCATTTTAGGCCATATCCCAGTTATGAATACGATGAACCAGAAGAAAGTCTTTGATTGAATTGAATACCTGTATATGCGGGTGCAGGGAGATCAGGGCAATGTTCATCTGAAAGGACTCTTAAAAGTTAAATATGGCAAAAGAATTTCTTAAGTGTTTTGAGTTCAACGCTGAAGTTTGATTCCACAGACTTACACATTGGATGGGCAACTTTCGGCTGAATGTGTGCCTGTATGGTAAAGAGGCAGCAGCGACATGGCCGCTGCTCAAACGCATCTACAGGATTTGAACCTAGACTGATATACAAAAGAGGATTGATTTGTTGATCATTAGATAATTAATTATTAATTTAGCTACCATCCCTACATTATGCAGCAAGTCATGTTCAATGAAAACGATTAAGACATCATTATGTATATGTGTAGAGCACCACTTCTCTGTTTTGACACTAGGAAAAAGCCAGAATGAAAGTCTTTTACCCAGTTGAAATAGGTCTCTGGTCTGGACCACCAGTTCTTTCATCTTAAAAACCAGATGGCATGTAAGTGCCAAAATGGAAATTAACCACTGCAAGAGATGTCATTCTAGTTTCTACATGACTACCACCATCTATTTATTGTGCACCAGACACAATACATTATTTCACCCGGTACAAAGGAACATAGTCTTTGAAATCAAACATCCGACACCAGCACAAAAGAACAAATTCCTTCTTTATAAAATATGAAAAGCATAATCACATAAGTGATCTAAAATATCAACATACTGAGCAATGCAGCAAATCTGATACTGAGAGATATGTGTCAATGCTTATTGTGGAGTACTAAGAGAGAAAGTATCATGAAACAGTTCATGAAAAAAAAGTAGTAGTAATAACAAAATGTAAAAATTTGTGATTATCTACTCCCAATCTGTTATTCTGTATGGTCCCAAACACGAACTATACAAGTATTACGTAAATTGAGTATCATTATGAAACTCTATTTAACAGGATGAACTTGATCAAATGATAAACACCTACCGGTTTAGTTTGCCCGTGAAATGCCTCCAACCTTGACTTGAGGACTTCGGCAGTGTCGTCCCTTCGCTGAATTAAAGGCTCTCCAGTAACCTTCAGGTGAAAGGAATAAAACCATAAATGCATCAAAATGAACCCAGCCCTAGCTTATAAATTCAGTCATACATGTTTTGGTACTCTTGTAGATCACATAAAACTGTATACAGAGAATTGCTACTTCGAGTTGTGCAGGCATATATAAAGAAGATGCATCCGTATACGCCGATCTGCTTGTGGACCATTGAAACCACCCACATTTTCTAGTTTTGCCCATTAATAAACTTGATGGCTCAAGTGTTCAGTATATACCATTGACAGTCCTTAATCATTTATCTAGTAAGACATTTCGACGAACAAAGTAAAAAGTCATGGGATCAGACAACAGTTCATCAATTTAAAGAGTTTCTACAAGCAAACTTCTAGCAAGGTCTTAGCAACCTAAAGGGAAAGCATGAAATCACTTTCTTCTAGGATCTACTAATTTTAGTTATTTCAATCCTCATGATCGTATTATTCATTGGCATCTTCTTCATGATTTAATTGATGCCATCTAGATTTGAACCATTTCAAATGCTTGGTGAAGCTAGCTTTCACCTATTGTGTTACAAACTTTCAGCATAAGAGAAAAAAAAATATCACATCTCAATCATGAGTCATGACACTGCCAGATTCGTTTTGCTCCAAGCATATAAATTATGAAATGAAAAATCATGAAGGTCAGGTAAATAGTTCTAATATGAAATCACCAGTCAACTCAGACCTGAACAAACCGAAATATTTGCAACTGAAACAATGCAAAGGAATGCAATAGAAATCAACTTACATCGTCAGCACCAGGAACTTTGGGAGGTGCAAATTTCATGTGGTAAGACCTACCACTTGAAGGGTGGATCCAACGGCCAGTAATTCTTTCCTCCAAGATAGCATCATCAATTGCAAAGTTGAGCACCTTATCAATTTTAGTTCCCTGCTTCTGAAGCATCTCATCAAGCTGTATCAAATCAAATGAAAATAGGTGGGATTAGAAACTAAAAGAAGATGGAACCCAAGAAGACACATGGGCATACTCTGAGAGAGAGAGAGAGAGAGAGAGATGCATAATATAATGCAAGACAACCTTTTCTGCCTGGACCACAGTCCTCGGAAAACCATCAAGAATGAATCCCTTTTCACATGAGGGCTTCTTCATTGCCTCGTCGATTATCCCAACAACCAAGTCGTCAGAAACAAGTTCTCCCTAAAAAATTTGAATATATCACCAAGGAACAATCAGTAAATGGACCAAACATGGTTATCCAAATTGCATCGTGAATAACCAACCGGAACTTACCTTATCCATTGCTTCTTTAGCCTTAATCCCAAGAGGAGTTTTAGCCGCAACAGCTGCTCTCAGCATATCACCTGTTGCCAAGTGGCACAAACAGTACTCGTCCTTGATGATTGGTGACTGGGTTCCTTTTCCAGATCCAGGTGGACCTGTCATTCATACAATTTCTCACTGAACTACCTCCCAAAATAATGCATAACTCAAAGTAATAAGGGTAAGTGGCACATAAGTTCATCTTATGCAAGGAATAGCTTCCCTACAAGGAAATAATATTGGTGGGGCAGCACTCCGAGAGTGTTTTAAAAGCAAAAGCGTAAGCTGAGGCATTTTAACCCCGTGAGAAAAGGTAAAAGCCTCAAAGCATGAGGCATAAGCTTTAAAATTTCGGTTTTTCACATTTGAAAAAAAAAAGCAACAGATACAAAGTAATATGAAGATAGTAGTTAGGAAAATCATAGGTTGTATAAACATAAAAAGAGTTACTTTGGCAGCATTTCAGGCTGCTAAAAATGACAACCAAGAATGACTGCAAAGTACGTACATACTATGCATCAAATTCATTCCATGAAAAGGTAAAAGAACCTAGTGTTTGCAGGAATCATGGTTCAAAGTATTGGCCAATACCGATATGAGTTGGCTGAGTCATTTCCGAGTCGGCACCGTTTGAAACAATACCGTTACATGATACGTATAAACCTCGAATCTCGCATGACTCAGCCGAGTTGTATCCGAGGCAATCTCAAGTTGCTGAGTTATCATCACTGAATCGGCCGATACGATTCCGTGATGCCACAGACTCACAGTATGTCCAAAATTTTTGTCATGTTTAACATTCTTTTAAGGTCAACATTGTCCGATACCGTGCCGTGGCGACCGATGTGCCTTAGGACTCTTTGAGTCGATGACCGATACCGCAATTTTAAACCATGGCAGGACTACTCGAGCTCAATTCGCACCCTTTTCCAAGTCCAACCAATTAACTGGACATAAACTTAAAAATTAGACAAAGGTTCAGCCATACCAAGTAGACCCTTGCAACTCCTTGTACAAGACATGGTCAAATATGGATTATGGAAAACATATATATTCTTTAACTTTGGTAGTTATAAAACCACCCTAGTTTATTACTTAGAAAAGGTCCAATATAGTTACTCCAACAAAGCATATGCCGGAAAGACTACAGAATAAAAGTGGCCTTTTTATGCTCTAAGCAAAGCCTAGCTACGCTTTGCCAATGTCCTTGATTTGCCTGCCTTTGAGTGAGCCTCAAGGTGAGCATCAACTGTGGCTTTAAAACACCACAATCCATTAATATCATAATTGATGAAACCATTTAGAGATAACCATAAAGCCTTGATTCCATATGTATATGCACACAACTACACAGTATTGGTATCTTCGTTTCAGTCAGAGAACAATGTACGATAAAACAGTGGTTTATATGGATGGAAGCAAAACACAGCAGGAAAAGAAACAAAAAAAGAAAGTAGGAGTCTGTCATAGAATAATGACAGAAACTCACGGCACAATTGAGTCAAAACTTAATGCGCAGTTCATGCAAAAAATTAAGGAGGATCTAACTTGGCCATAAATTTGGAGCACTTGTTATTTGGAAGAATTAAATTCATAAACTTATGAGGTTTACGCTTTACAAATATTCACGTTGATGCAAAAAGTTTTGAGATTTAACAAACATTAGCAGAAATTCCAAACAAATCAGCAAGAATACATAAACTCGGAAAATTATATGGATTGTATGAACCCCTTCTACTATATATTAGGCTTCAACATCGGTAATCTGAGTTTGAAACATAAACACCCAGTGTGATACATATTTAAAAACAATTCAACAAGAATCCATTGCTACATTTATCAAATTCCACAACCGCTATAATAAAGCACTCAAAATTATAATCATGATTTAAACATAAATTGACATATATCTACGCCATTTCCAGATCTACAAACACCAACCCAGAAATTAAAACCTCAAATATAATCAAAATACAAACCCTAAACTTTTCAAAACTGTTCATACGCAGATGAGATAGTAGAGGGGAAAAGGGTATACCGACGAGAATGAGGCGTTTGTCGGGCTTGGAAGAGCACTTCATGCGGCGGAGAAGTTCAGTCATCATGTCTACGGACGGTACATCCTCCAATGCCACCGATGAGCTCGCCATTTCTCTGTTTGATTCCTTCGATCCTCTATCTCGCTCTCTAGTCTATATGGTTTTGGGTTTTTATCTCTCAACGGTCAACACAAAGGTTAGGTGTACCCACCTATAGATATATATTCATTGTGTATACAGCAATGAATTTGAAGCGGACAGAGACGGATTTTTCGAAGCTTCTCCAAATTGAGAAGGCCGCTGTTGACTATCAGCCACTTTGCAATATGCCATTCACCAAGTTGTTTATCTGCGAACTTGTTTTAAATTTAGATTTAAATTTAAATTTAAATAAAAAAATTTAAATAAATTCGTTTTAACTTGTGACTCAAATTTATACCAAATTAAATAAGACTCATTTATTTACTTAAATTAAGGGATTCTCAAATTTTTACTCATTTTTAATACTAAAATTTCACCATTTTTTAAAGATCCAATGATTATCTTTATTTTTTTTTTTTTTAAATTTGAGGTTATTTTCATTTAAATTTAAGTTTTTTTTTCTTTAAATTGGGATTTATCGATTGTGATGATGCACAAATTGATTTTTGTACAAAATCAACAGTCAAGTGTATGAACGGATGGAGTCAATGAACAATAAATAAAACAATCAATAATAAAACTGTAAATAAGGAACCAACACAAAAAATTATAGTAGTTCAGTCCGAGTGACCTACTCCACTTTCAAAAACGATGGCGGTGGCTTGAATCTTTTATTAATGAGTCAAGTCACCGGAGAGAGTATTCTCTAGAAGTATTACAGTGCTTTTGAGAGAGAGAGAGAGAGAGAGAGAGAGAGATAGCAGTGTGTGTAGGAATGTGAGGCGGTGAGAGCATATGAAAGCCTATTAATGTGTAGGGATCTCTAGACTATGAGAGTCTGTCCTCTACATGTAGAAGACTTTTATTATATAGGCACACCAAGGCAGTGAGGCGGTAACGTGAGGAAAGAGTCTTCCACTATCTTGGTAAGTATAACCTTAGTAAGAATGTATCTCCGCATCTCGATATTTTCTCGCTCGTGCCCCTATTTTGTCGGAGGATAATCTTGAGCTGGGCTGATCTTGATCTTGAGCTTAGGCTTGGAGTGGTGTGGACTTGGACTTGTATTGGAGTGGAGAAGAGGGACAGGGGAGGTAAGTCATGGACGTTGGCCTTTGGCTTGGACTTCACTTGACTCCTTCTTAACTTGTGAGCAGGTTCAATTCCTCTTAGGCTCTGGTAATTGAGACTCCTTTTGATGAGTTGACCCAACTTTGATTGGGCTTTCTCGGTTTAAATTAATTGGGCTTGGCCCAGTCAATTTTGGACTCATCGTTTACCCTCTATGTCCTGAGCCTCTAATTTTTTTCGAGAGGAAAGGGTCGAGGACATGTGCTTCGTTCCGTGTGGGTGAGTCGGAATTTTTATTTTTATTTTTTCTGGGTGACACCTGCTGTTGCTGCTGCTTCCTCTTCTTCTCTTTTTTTTTCCTTCCTTCTTGGGCTGGTTGGGAGCCGCCCCTTCTGTTGACTTTTCTTCCTATTTCTTTTTTCTTTTCTTCTCTTGGTTTGGGCTGGGCGTGGGCTTCCTTCTCCCTTTTTTTTTTTTTTTTTTCTTTTCCTTGCTTGGCTTGGGCTGGCGTGTTAGCTGGCCTTCTCCCTTCTCTCTCTCTCTTTTTTTTTTTTTTTGTCTTTTTCTTCCCAGCTTGGGTTGGGCGTCGTCTCCTTTGCCCTTTTCTCTTTTTCGTTTTTTTACTTCTTGTTGGGCGCCGCCCTTCTCCAGTCTTTTTTTTTTTTGGCTTCCTTTAGGCGTTGCCCCTTGCATCATTCTTTTTTATTTTTATTTTTTATTTTTAGCTTCCTTCCTTGGGCGACGCTTGCTGGTCAAGTGAGAGGATCTTTTGGGCGCCAAGCGTTGGGCGGCGCCAGGAAGAGACTATGATGGTGCTTCAAGTGATGCCAGGAGACTAGTTAGGCGCCTTGGGCGACACTAGGAGGCCTTAAGCACTGCTGTGTTTGGGAGACACCTTGAGTCTTGTTATTGGTGGCGGGTGCTTGCTCACTAATTGACCTTGTCTCTAATTATAGGCTTCCTGTTGATAAAGCGATGGTGGAGACTCTTATGCTTTTAGGGTGGTGTCTTCTCCTCCTCCCAAAAGGGCGAGGTTTGATGCCCCTAGTGCTTTTCAGTCAAGATTCGATGACCAGGTTGTTTCTTGGGAGCGGGATCTGGTGGTGCCCCCACTCCTTCCCAGATTGAGGCTTTTGTGTGCATCAGAATTAGTCCTTGTACTCTTGTAGGAGTTGAGGCTCCAGTGTAGTTTTTACAGGGACTGTGACTTCACCTTGCTTCTAGTAGTGGCTTGGTTGCAAATGACCCGAGCTTCAACAGTGTGCCTGACAAAAATAATGTTATCTCAACATTAAAATGTCTAACATGATTACATGGAGAGAGGGGTAGACTATTTGTATGAGAGCAACATCAGAGCTGTGGATGTCCCATTAGAAGGCCACATGAGCTGAGGCCGAACTACGTATAGTCTCGAGAGATGGACTTGCGCGAGAGCAGAGTCATAGAGGCTGAGTTATGTATAATCTTGGGAGATGACTGTCGTGACAGAGGTTTAGTAAGTGACTTGCGCGAGAGCAGAGTCATAGGCCGAGCTACGTGTAGTCATGGGAGATGGTTGCCATGGCAGAGACTTGCACGAGAGCAGAGTCATAGGCCGAGCTACGTATAGTCTCAGGAGGTGGCTACCATGACAGAGGCTTACTAGGTGACTTGCACGAGAACAGAGTCATAGGCCGAGCTATGTATAGTCTCGAGAAGTGGCTGCCATGATAGAGGCTTATTAGGTGACTTGCGCGAGAACAGAGTCATAGTCCAAACATGAGAGGCACCCAAGGTGGAGAGGGGGAGACCCCTTGTCTGGGCGATATCATGGGGGCGCCTAAGGTGGAGAGGGCGAGCCCCTCGTCTAGGCGCCTAGTGATGGCGCCTTTTATCTTTTTGTCTTCATTGTTGTTAGGTCATGTTCTGACTTTTGTAAGCTATTTGTAAATTTTAGGAAGACAATTTGGGTACAATAATCTTCATAGAGTTTTATTTCATAAAATAATAATAAATAACAAAATAAATTAACTGAAACAATAAATGATAGATAAAATTTCAGGTGCTCGGTTTCCTATAGGTGGGCCAAGACTTTCCTGGTGGATTTGGAGTCGTCTCCTCCTCTTAGCCCTCAGGAGATTGTCTGAATTTCTTTGAGGCGCTGCTGGCATTCTCTGTCGCCCTGGTCCTGACCAGGTGGCGGGGTTTGCCCTCTGCCAGCAATGTACTGCCTTAACTGGCGATATTGTATGAGCTCCTCAATCTGTCTTTTAAGATCAAAACAGTCGTTCGTGTCGTGGCCATGGTTGCGGTGGAAGCGGCAGTACTTGTTCAGGCTCCTTCGGTTCGGGGAGGTCTTTATCTTCTCTGGCCAGCGTACTGTAGGATCATCTTGTATTTGGAACAGGATATGCTCCACGAAAGCCTTGAGTGGCGTGAAGGCTTGTCGCTCTCTCAGAGGTGGGGGACCAAGGCGGTCCTTGACAAAGATTCTCTCTGTCATATTCCTTTTGTTCTCTGCTTCTCCCATGTCTTCGCGGGTATCCTTTCTCTTCTCACACCTGTAGGAGGACTCACCTCGTCTGGCCTTGATGACATCCTTAGCGTTTATGTAGTTCTGTGCCCTTGACAATAGCTTGGGCATGCTGGAGGGCGGCTTCTTAAGGACGGAGAACATAAAACTGGAGGTGCGAAGGCCAGCGACCAAGGCGGCCAAGGCTACCTTGTCATCTGGCTCCTCAATTTGGAGAGCCTCCTCATTGAAACGGGTGAGGTAGTCTCTAAGGCTTTCATCCCTGTCCTGCTTGATGGTGAGCAGATGAGTCACAGGTTTCTGATGTTGACGTCCCCCGATGAAGTGGGAGACGAAGGACTTACTTAGTTCTACAAATGAGTGAATAGAGGAGGGCTTGATTTTTATAAACTATTGACGTGTGGACCCCTTTAAGGTGGCAGGGAAGGCTCTACACATAATCTCCTCAGGCACGTTATGGAGTTGCATGAGAGATTTGTAGGTGTCCAGGTGGTCGAGGGGGTCTTTGGTACCATTGAAGATCTAGATGGTAGGCGTCTTAAACTTCGAGGGTAGAAGATAATTGACAATATCAACAACAAAAGGTGTATCAATACGTCTTACCAAGTAATCCACTGTCTCGGACGCCTAGGCCTTGATTGCATTGAGGGCGTTGTCGAGTTGGTTTTGCACCTCTCTGATCTTCTCGTCCCATTGGTTAGGGACGTCCTCTGTCGAGTGGTGGTTCTGGCTTCCACGGTCCCCATATTGGCTCTCTTCTTCTTAGTTCTCCTGCGCAGGTACGTGTAGAGGGTAAACATGTGAGCTCCCTACGTGTTGAGGAGGGACTATTGGGGGAGGGGTGCCCTGGTGTGGCCTTGGGGCATTCTGGAGAGGGCCCCCATGGTGAGGGGCTGCCTGACGCCCAGAAAGGATAGACAGTTGCTTCTCTCCTGGTGAGGGGAGTGGGACTCTTCCTACGAGAGGGGTGACGCCTCCTTAGGAGAGCATGAGTTGGATGATTTGCTGGTTTTGATTCACCAGCAGCTGCATAGTTTGGAGGAGTTGTTGCTGCTGTCCAGCAGTGAGAGTAATAGTAACAGATGGTTCTACAGGTGCACGGGGAGGCGGAGCCTCCTCCCAGTGGGTCGGGTTATTGTCTCCCGGCTGTTGGCTCATTGATTTGGTAGTGATTGTCATGGATCAAAAGAGTAGGAAAATTAGTCGATTTCCACAGACGGTGCCAAACTGATGATGCACAAATTGGTTTTTGTGCAAAATTAATAGTCAAGTGTATGAACGGATAGAGTCAATGAGTAATAAATAAAACAATCAATAATAAAATTGTAAATAAGGAGCCAACACAGAGAATTATAATGGTTCGATGTGGGTGACCTACTCCACTCTC